AACCTCTGAACTCTGCTTTCTATCCGAATAAATTACCTAAGTAGGCTTGTAATATGAATACTAGTTTAGTTTTTTCTAGTGTTCGTTCTCAAGACGGCATCCTTATGTGAACGAAACATTTTAGGATTGTGCTGTGTGACAATTCATATTACAGCTTACGTATTTGTTTTCTCGAATCGAAAACACATTTCTAAATTTAGGTTCAATATTTCAAGGGAAACCTTGCTACAGTAGCCAATAGATTGCCAGAAAGTTTTCTCCTCGTCATTCAGCCAATCAGTCTCTCATCCACTATCATTCAACCTAACTACGCTAATTGAACTAAGCTAAAATGGGTATCTTATTGATTGACTGTTAGGATTTATATAGCAACATGATGAGAACATTGAGCCATCTAAGATATCTCGCGCGTCTGTATTTCCACATACGGCTGTCAGGAAGCAGAAGATCACAGGATCTGACGCACAAAATCAACTACAGCAGACTCCCTAATGACCTCCAACAGACTCCGAAAATTACAACAGCAGGACTTACCTCCCGAAAGACGATCCAACGATGCAACTCCACTGTCCCTCGAATACCTTCTCCATGCGTTTCTTCAGTCTCTGCGCGAAATCTTTCTCCAGTATGTCCTTGTGCTGAAGGCGACCCAGTTTTTCCAGAGCAACCTCTTCTTCTCTGTCCGGAAGGTCGGCCTTTATGATTATCATCTTACCAAAGCTGGATGTGTGTAAATAGCGGTGTCTATTGTTTTCTCGCTAACTGACGAGCCCCTGCTTTTATAGGCGCCGAATGAGCGTCCTTCTCAAGCTCCACGCTTGGTCACGTTTATTTTCTACATCAGAGAGAGACGAGTACAACAACTGCACCAGTAGCATCTGAGCACTTAACAAGTACAAATAACAAAGGTACATAGACCGGAGGGTAGGCGGATATGGGACAAAAAATGACATGATCTGATGCTACCAGCTCGCTGCCCTCGTAACCAACAACCATACGTTCCCCTGACACAATCCGAATATCGATGGATGCTGCCCTCTCCAAAAAAATGTCCGAAAGCGAGCCAGGCCTCCACCGTCCCAAACAACCCCTCAAATCTCAATCTCTTTGAGAGTAACATTGCACACATCGCGAAAATAGTGGTTTTTTCCTCTATTCCACAAACCTTTTCGGTGGAAAAAATATAGAATTACGTTCAGGTGGCATTTTAGCCCTTACGGTCTTCGAGGACCTGTAGATTGCTTTGGTAAAATTAAGTGTCACGTGAGGGCCACGTTGTTGGCTATATAACTTCAGTGTTTAATGAAGCCGATAGAATTATTTCCGTTCAAATGTGTTCTATGATGGATAATTTTTCCCCACCGTTAATATTGCCGCATTCTGCCACACTCTGGGCATCATCTCCCCTTAAAGGCGGTATAAGTGGTGTTTGAGCTAAAAACACTACAATCATCACGTCCTTTTGAATGAGAAGAAGTGGAAACACTACAGTAGATGTTGTGCACTAGGTACAGACTACTGATAGAAGCAAATGGGCGAGTTCCTGAAATCAGTTCAGGTTCTACCAGGCTATTTATTGGCCTGACATTTCGGGATCTTTCGGAGCCAGTTGCAGAAAGGGTAAGAGACGGGTTAGGGGCACAAGTGGCGCAGTGGCATGATTCCCAGGCAATTGGTGCGATTATTACCTTTTAATCTGAACCCGAGTCGTTAACTGCCATGATAACGTCACCGTTGTCGGTTCGTAGCGTGATGAGTACTCTATAGTTTGGCTTGTTGTCAGTGGAACCGTTGGTCATACGCATCATTCTCGCGTGGCTGATAATTTTGCTCCGGCAGCACTGAATATGAAACTGCGTAGTCGACTGCGGGCCAAAGAACCACGAGTCAAACAGTGTGTGTTTGTGTGTTTCGGCCATTGCTAAAGGAATGCAATCCAACCGCACACACACACACACACACATATAAACATTGGCTATCTGCTTTGTTGACTTTGTCGCTGTGTTCAATTCCGTCTATCGCGCATCCCTATAGCGGATAATGGCATTAGATTGTGTACCACTAAAAATCATCGCCATGATCAAGGCACACTACCGCTCCACCAAAGCGTGGGTTCTGGCCGATAACCACCTTTAAGAACCCTTCGGTATTAAGCTTGCCCCCGGACGCAGTTTGACACAGGTTTGGTGATCTATAATTCATGGCGTCACGGGTGAACGAGGTCGCTAAATCGGTCGGTTTATCCATGAATGCTGGGAAGGCCAAAGTGTTCTCATGCTGCATCCCTGTCCAAGAGAAGACACCTCTCGATACTAGTGGCTGTCGGCTTGAAGAAGTAGACAGTTTCAA